CTACTCACAAAGCTGTGAGAGTTTTGAAATATCACAGTAGTAAAGAACTTACTACTTTTTGACAAATTCTTTTTTCTGTTGGAACACTGAATTCTTCTGTGTGTGTGTGTGTGTGTGTGTGTGTGTGTGTGTGTATACACAAATTGAGGGCCTCTACCTCCTGGAGTTATACAGCTTGGCTTGTTTACCTCCACATGCTGCTGCTGATTTTTTTTTTTAAGTCCAGTGTGGAGACTTGAAACGTGAATGTCTCTTGCAATTTTTATATTTAAAAGACAGACAAGAAAATCAACAATCATTTTTCACCTGTATAAGGTATACAGGATCGTCTTAAAATTGGTCTAGGGAAAATCCTTGGTGTGTGTTACAGACACGTAACTGTTAAAGTTATTGTAAGTTATCTGTATTTAGCAGAGATTTTTCATCTTGACTGATCTGAGCCAAATTTGAAGACTATTAATAAGTTATGTTTGGAAGTTTTAACTTTAATGAAGTAATTATTTGCTGTGAATGAAACAAACAATGAATTACTAAACAAAGACGGTGCAATGACTTTAGGTGTTGTTTTTTTATGTGTGTGTTTTTGTTTTGTTTTGTTTTTTAATGAGGCTCCTGAGAATAAACCCAACTGAAGCATTTCAATCTACTTGAATGAGAAATGTATTTAGTATCAAAAGAGTCCAAGAAGACATGGATGTGAAAGGTACAATCTCAGATGTTGGTCAATTACCATGGCACACTTACTGGTCACTTTGTACAAAGTAGATTTGAAGTATGGTGGTGAAAACATTAAATGTGACATTTGAGGAGGGGAAAAAATGTCCTTTCAGATGGAAGTTCATTCAATTAGTCCACAATGAGTAGTGGGGAAATGAAGTCCTGCTTCTTCATGATACATGTCCAGTATGGGAAGATCCCTATCTTTTGAGAGTCCTGAGCCCAGCCCCCTGGTGCGTGTTCAGGTCAGGTTCACAAAGCTGCAGAATTTTTTAAATTGCTCCTCATGCATGCCTTTTCTCTCTTTTGTGTCTGACTTGGGTCTCAATAAATTCCTCCAAATACAAGGGTGCTGGAATATTTTCTTTAAGTAGGTTTCTATTTCTTTTTTATGTGTCTACTAGAGAGGGGCAGGCTTGCTGGCCTGACAAGCTAGTCATCCCACTGCAAGTTTGAAGAGGCTTTTTTCCCTCTTAGAATTATTTCTGTTCTTTTCTCTCTCTTTCCTTGTGGGACTTCACTACGCATTTATTGGTATACTGAATATGGCTTTTAGAGGTCTCTGTGGCACTGTTATAATCTTTCTTCATTCATTCTCATTGTGTCCTTACTAGTGGATAATCTCAGTTAACCTGTGTTTAAGTCTGAGAATTCCTCTGCTTACTACAATCATCTGCTTGGTCCCTCTAAGTAAGTTTTTAATTTCTGGTGCTATAATTTGCAGTTCTATAATTTGAGTTGTTAAAAAATTATTTCTAGATCTTTACTAGTCTCTTTCCTGAGACAATACTTGTGTATGATTATTTAAATCCTTTTTTTCTGAACATTTAAAATAGCTGATTTATTGTAATTGATTTTTAACTTTTTTTTCTTTGCATGTCTTTTAGGTTTTTTTTGTTGTTGTTTTTTTAAATCACCACTGCTGACCACTCTAAAAGAGATTACAGAGAAAGGTTGTGGACAGAATGGGCAAAAATATGAA